ATAGTGCCTCCGAGATTAGATAATTGATTCAGTGACAGTTATAGAGACAGAGATGAGGAAGTGGTACTGGTTTCTATTTTGTTCGAAGCACATAAGGCATGTTAAAGTATGGGATCCAGAGGAGAGAAGCAGAATTATGTATTCTTAATGTGGCCAGATGAGAACTAAAACCTTATTATTTAGCAGCAAGGACTGAGAAGCAAAGCAGAAGGAACCAGTCATTCTTCAAGTTTCTCTCCCTTGTGCTTACACTGCTTATCCAGTGCTATTCAGTCTATCTATGTATTAATGTCTGTGAAAGGAGCAGATAAAACATGAGGGTGGCTGAGTCTGACTTCTGCTTGCTTCATAAAGGGGAACTAGCCCCATCAATAATATCCATTGTTGTTGTTATAGCTGTTGTTGTGTAGAGTCAGAACTGACCCACAGCTGACTCTCCAGAAGGTTTTCAGAAGCATTTAATTGCACGAGAGGAGATTGTCCATCCTCATGTAGAGCAGCTGGTGGATTCGAACCACATGTCTTTGGGATTGCAGCACAGCTTCTTGCCATAATGTCCATAGCATCAAATAAATAACTACATAGTCAGACATGCCACCCCACTTGCTTTTGCACCATTTTTTACCATTGTGTCTGATATTCATTGCAAGACTCACAAATTACTCACAGTTGTGGGGTTTATTAGGGAAACAGGTTAGAGAGTGGGGAAGGCAAAGAATATCTCACAATGCAAGTCCAGGTTTAGTCCAGTCCAAAGACAGATTAATAAGGCACAATTCCTCAATTAGTGAAAGTTCAGGTTTTGTTCAAGAGCACAAATGCAAGAAGCCTCTGGTTTCCTCAATTGTCCACCAAACTTTATCTTAGGGCAATTACAAGACAGCTTTTCAGGTTTCAAGTCAGCAAGCAAAACCTTTAACTGTGGCTACATCTGCAAGATTCCTCTGGTTAGACCTTACCACAATCTCTTCACAGCAGTGCCACAGTCTCTTCACCTTCTCTCCAACACCACTGCCACTGTTTTTTACAGTATGGAAAACACTCTCTTATATTGGTTCCACAGCTGTTGAAGATTTGCATGACCATGTGTCTACAATTAAGGCAGCTGGAAACCATGCCCCTAAAGGGGGCTAACACAATATAGAAAATATAGAAAAGCCAATTTTTAAAGGTTCTGACACCTCAATTTCTGAAATCAGTTGTTGTCCAGTTAACTTTAAATCATGTATCAAAGTAGAACTGTATTTTATAGATTTTTGAATGGTGGACTTTTTGAAAGTAGACTACCAGGCCTTTCTTCCAAGGAGTGTCTCTCATTGCTATTAAGTCAGTACCAGCTTGTAACTGACCCTCCACTGGGTTTCCAAAGCTATATATCACATGGGAGGAGATCTCCCATGATGCTGCTGGTGAAACCACCAGTGAAGTACAGACTTTGGGTTAGCACTGCAATTCCCCATGAATCATGCCACCAGAACTCCTTAGGCAGTACTGAGGTGGATTCAAACCTACAACTTTAAGGTTAGCAGTTGAGAACATTAACCATCTACTCCACCCAGGGATTCCAAGTTCCTAGGGTGATCTCAACAAGTTCCACAGACTTGACGACATTAAAGAACAGAACATTATTGCCACACAGTTATGGAAACTGGGAATCTGAAATCAGGCTGAATCTGAAATTGGCCATTTTTATTTCTTCTGGAAGCTCTGTGTCTCTCTCCATCTCTTCTTTTAAATCACTCAGACTGTTGTTGCTGTGTACCATGGTGTCAAAACTGACCCATAGATGACCCCCCTAGTGAGTTTTTAAAGGCAACTTAATTACACAGGAGGAGATTCAAACCATGTGCCTTTGGGATGGCAGCAGAGCTCCTTACTATACACCTTCTGAAGGCTCTGTGTCTCTCCATCTCTGTATCTTCTTTTATATTACTTAGGTTAGATCAGAATAGGTTAGGTTTTATCCTACTCCAGTATGCCCTCATATTATCTATTAATATCAACTCCCAAACAAAGTCATTCACAGGTAGCAGGGGTTAGAACTTCAACATATCTTTTAGGGAGATGCAATTCAATACCTTCCTAGTTACTGCTGTTAGTTACCATCAAGCCAGCCCCCGACAGATGGGGATCCAAGTGTTACACAGCAGAACTGTACCCCAATGGTGTTCCTGGTTATAGTCTTTATGAAAACATTTTTCAGGCACCCTTCTTCCACAGAACATCTGAGTTGTTCAAACTATGAACTTTGGGGTTAGCAATTGATTACAAAGTGGTTTGTCACCCAAGCTCCCAGACATTTTTCCAATTTTACCTCTTCTTTCCAACCCAAAGCACAGTTATACACTCCTGTTACTCCATCTTATTCCTTTCCTCACTCTCTCTGTGGACCCACTTTGCCCACCTCCAGTCCACTGGCATGGAGTAGCCAGATGGTCTTTTACCAACATTCATCTGATGAAGTCATTCTTCTGCTTACAAATGTTACCAGGTTAAGATAAAGATGGAAGAGGCTCCCAAGTTCTTGGAGGCCCCCAGCTCAAACCTGGAACGCTCTTCTTGTCCTGCCCTTCTTTGCTCTCTACACCAGACACACTTGTGATCTTGCATTCTTCCGTGGAGGTACGCTCCATTTGAACTTCACTGGTGCTGGTTCCTTTTTAAAAAATTATCTCCCTTCTCAAATATCTACCCAGCTTCTGACTGGCTAACTTTCCATGTCGCTCATCCACCTTTTCATAAGAATATTTCTAACAACTCTCTCCATTCTTGGCTATCAGCTTCCCCTACAAACTCCCCCACCCTCTGTTTTTGCTACCATGGCCCCTTTCTGCCTCCTGACACTGGCAAGCTTGCTCCATATCTGTCTTTCTTGTATAACAATCAACATGGATCAATTCTTATTCTCAGGACCTGGTCCATGTGCTTCACTTGTATCAACTCATGAAGTCTTCACAACAACCCTGAACGTTTTACCCTAATCACTCCCTTTGTAGGAGAAAAGCAATCTGCTTTGTAAAGATTGGAGTCAGAAATCCTATGAAGCAGTTCTACTCTGCAACACACGGGGTCGCTCTAAGTCAGGCACAGCGGTTTTCTGTAACCCCCCCCCCCACACACTCCCCCCCAACCCTTCACAGATCAGAAAGTGAGCCTGGGGCCGCTTTCACAGTTACTAGGAGGAGGACTCACCTTGGCAACTGTACCCTGTGGGTTACGTTAGAATTCCAGTTCCCAGGCCCCAGGGAGTAGGCGCTGGGTCTGTGGGGCTAACCGTTCACATGGGACCTAGCAAAGGACCTGGAACACCTATGTAAAACCAGACAAATGAAATGGTAGAATGGGAAGTGCGTGAAGACATAATTTATGACCCTAGTTGTAATTTCCGAGATGTAACAGGGTGATTTATAAAGTGATTCTTAAACACTACGTACCCTTAGTCATCCCTCCTAGCCCATTTCTCCAACCTACAAAAGACACACAAATGTTCAGAAAATTTATTAGTGTAAATTTTAAATCATTGTAGGGCGCAGACTACTTACTCTGCCTTCCCACCCAACAAATAAATAGTGCCTATCATTTTCCATCTTGTCCCCAGACCAGGGTAAAGGGATTAGGACTCCCCGTGCTGGCGCACTGTGTCGGTCTCAGCGTCACCCACCCCTGCCGGATCCTTACAGTTCACTCCAGGGGGGATCCCCAAGACAGTCCCAATGGGTAGCCGAATCCTTTTTCTTGGACTCTCCGCCGCGCTTGGGGGAGAGTCCACAGCTCGCGGGCCGACTGAAGCGGTGCGCCAGGCCCCGCCCTTGGGACTCGTTATCCACGTTTCCGCGTCAGGCCCGCTGCGAACTTGGCAGCCCCCACTGCGGTGTTTAGAACACTTTGTGCAGCGCGCCCGCCCGCCCGCCCTGAGTCTCCTGTCTCTCGGCGGCGCCGCCCGTGCGGGGACGCCTCGTGCAGCCCGGGGTTTTGGATACTCGGCCCCAGCAGGTTCAGGGCTTCACACTCTTGTCCCGCATTCCCCGAACCTGGGCCACACAGGTGGCTCGGCGCCCACGACTAAACGTTCAAACATGCGTCCGCGCGTAATTGAGAGGTTCAGAAAGATGGTGTGGCCCATTTTAAAACAAAGCCCAATTATTTCCTCTTGGCGGCTGTTTATGCTGGTCCCAGATCAGATCTTCTGCGCGCTGTGGACAGCTAGTGCCAGAAGGAGCGCGGTCCGAGCGCAAAGAACCTGGCTCTGGAGCCCTGTCCAGTGCGGGCTGTGTGAGCTCCAGAAAAGCGCTGGGGCTCAGCCTTCTCTTCCGTGAAATGGGGATAACCGTGCGTGCCTTGGCGCCAGGCTGGGAAGGGACATTCTGCGCCTAAAGCACCGGGAGGTCGTAAAGATGCTAGTCCTGGGGTCCAGCAGCATGCCGGCAGTGCTCAAAGCCCTAGCACCCACCTTCCCGCGGCCTCCACCCCGCTCCGGGCGCCCCAGTTGCTCGCGCGGCGCTGGCTCCAAAGTGCGTCACGGGCACCAGCCGCGCTCCTCCGGCGGCCAGGGAGAGGCTGGCGCCGGGCCAGCGCGGGCCGGCAGGGGGTACGGGCCGGCTCCAGGGCGGGGACCCGGGCGTAGAATCTGCGCAACCTGAGCAGCCTCGGTGAGCTGTTGGGGGCGCCTCCGTCGGTGGGCAGCACGCCAACCACCGACCTCGGTAACTGCAGGGTGCGAAAGCTACGCCATCCCTTCGGCCACCCTACGCTTCCTTCCGAGCAGCGGCGGCGGCGGCGATTTCTTCCCAGGGAAACTACGCGGATCCTTCCCGGGACTCCTCGCCCCGCCCCAAGTACTCCGCCCCCTCCCCTGGACAGGGGAGCCCCTGCTGTCGGCGCCGTAAAGGCACTGGCTTTCAGGGTAAGGTACTGAGTGGGGCCAAAGAGTCACTCGAGACCGACTCTTAGCGCCATGTGACGTTGCCCGCTGCCTGGCGACCCCGCGCGCGCCCCGCACCATGCCCCCACGGGGACCCGAGCGCAAGTCTCTCGCCTCCCATCCGGCTCAGCATCCTGGCCTCCGCAGGCAGGTAGAGCCTCCGGGGCAGCTCTTGCGCCTCTTCTACTGCACAGTGCTGGTCTGCTCCAAAGAGATCTCCGCGCTCACGGACTTCTCTGGTAAGAGCCGACTCCCTCTCGGTGCGCCCCAGGGGAGGTACACAACCGGGGTGCATTAAAGTTGGGGCGCGCTCTTAACCAGTTTTTTTGTTTGGCTGATTTGAAGGTTTTTGCCTTGGCATTTATAGATGGCTTCATGTGGGGTGGCGGCTGGAAAGCTCCCCTAGAAGGAAAGATAGGCAGTGAGGCTCCTGCGGAAGCCGGTCTGCTGGGGGCTCCTCCAGCTGAGCCCTCGACGTGCTTGGGCTGTGAAATACACCTATTGTGGTCTGAGGAGTCACACTTGGTAGCTTCAGGGCCAGAGTTCAGAAGGGTAACCTTGTAAGGAGACATGCACAGGGAATAGCTGACTCCAAGTCGACATTAGCAGATCGGGAGGGATGCGTGTGGGGATCAGAAGCTGGTGGAGATGCGGTCAGAGATGAAGGGAAACTTGTAGAAGAGAGAAGACAGAAGGGCAGTAACTTTTCCGTGAAAAGGTACCAACGCACCTCCGTTCTTTAGTCTGTTTCCTTTAACAAAAAATAATGGACTTTTCTTTCAGGGATTCACAGCATGGCTCCCGCCAAGTGATCGCAGGTAGTCATGGGATGCAGGTGTGCAGACAAACGGGAAAGCAATGTATGAGTTGATGACAGCACTTTTTTCCCCTGTTCGTGTTGGGATTGCTTAGGGTTATGATCATGCAACTAACTGTAACAGACTGGGTCTCCCTGTGGTGAGGCAGATCTTTCCCTCGCCCAGCCAGAAGCAACTGTGAACTCTAAGCACAATGTATGAGTTGATGACAGCACTTTTTTCCCCTGTTCGTGTTGGGATTGCTTAGGGTTACCATCATGCAACTAACTGTAACAGACTGGGTCTCCCTGTGGTGAGGCAGATCTTTCCCTCTCCCAGCCAGAAGCAACTGTGAACTCTAAGCTCTTCTCCTCCTCCGGCCAAACCCAGACTTTGCATAATCTAGAGAGACAGCTTCCTCCATTCCCAAATTCAGGTCTTTTGTAATATCATCGCAGTAAAGGAGTACAGTAGACTAGTACAGGCAGAAAACACTGACAAACCAGAACTAAGTTGAGCTTGTAGTTTACTTACAGAGAATGGCATTGTTAGCTGAGAGCCCTTGGGTCAGAGGTCCTTTGCTCTGAATATTTAATACCAAGGCAGTGTTCCCACACGGCAAAGGAAGCCAAGATATGCCTATTTGGCAAGCAAGTTGGATCCCTTAAAAATCAAGTGCCACAGGATTAGAACGCTGTGATAAATGTTCTAGAGAAATGCATTGAGGTTTTCAAAGTGCTATTGACTTATTATTTTAATAGAATCTTCATGGCTGCAAGAACAGTTCAAGTATTTGCTGATGTGAGTTTTGGAGATCAGTTCTGAACTCAGCCACTTTCTTGCCCTGAATATTGTGAGGAAAGAATTGAAAGTTGACAAGCCTTTTTTGGTGAGATCATTCCAACTGAACAAATATTGCTTTAGGTCAATTGTACTATAACTATTAGTTTATTTTCACAGGCTGTAGGTACTTAGAGCTTATTTCTTTAGTGGAGAAGTTGTCATACTTGTAGCTCCATATAGATTACCTCACAAATTTAGGACTGTGTGTGGCAGCTCTTAGGTAGTGTAGACTGGAACTGTCATACCAAAACAAAACAGCTGCTCTGGGGAACAGACTCATTGAGTGCTTACCCATTTTTCCCCCTCAGACCAGATTGAACTGCCTGCATTTCAGGTTGGCAGCTCAACTCTTTACCCATTAAGCCACAAGACCTCCCTGTGTACCATAGGGTTATCAACGACTATAATTTTTCAGTAATGGAATGCCAAGTCTTTCTAACTAGGTGCTGCTGGGTAGATTCAAACTGTCAACCTTTCGACACTTAAACATTTGCTCAGCCAAACTGTATACTGAGGGAAATAGATGTTTGATGTATTAGTCTCAGAATAACATAAAATGATAAGAAAAGGTTCTTTTTCCTTTCATAAGAAATTAAATTTCAGGGTTAAAAGTCCCTGAACCAGCAGTAGATGGTGATATTGCCAGGTCATTCAATTAACAGCCCCCATTTTTCCTCCTAGCAAATGACATTCTCTGGAGGTCCAAAGACTAGAGGGCTGGTTCTAGCCTTTCGAAAGTGTACTTTCAAAAGAAGCAAAGAAGAAGAGTGCCCTCCCAAACCATAGAAATACTGAAATTTAAACCTAAATTTTGTTTAGTGTGGAGATGGAGAAACACTACAAAAGCCACAGTGAGAAAGATAAAATTAGCTCATTTGACTTAAAACCTATGACCATTTAAGGACCCCTTAGCCATATGAACTATAGCATCCAAGAAAATCCCCAAGCTCCAAAGATGAAACCACCTAAATGTTGGGTTATGTGTTTAATTGAAGTGATGGATCCTGGTCACATAACTCCAAACCCCCTATGGCCTCATAATCAGCTGCCTGCCTGCCTGGGAGGCCTGTTCCTTTTTATGAACTTGGAAGGGTACAAAGAAACCAGAGGTTTAGAGAGAGAGAGGAGCCCTGTCTCCACCCCTGACACACACACCCATACCACCCACACCACCCACACCCAAGCCTGAGCTTTCCAACAATATCCCAGGGCTAGAGATTCAGGTTGCTAAATAAGGGAAGCATCACAAATTGAAACTGAAGGGGAATTGGGGGAAACTTGGAACTCCATTGCCTTCTGAACCAGGGGATTCAGTCAGGTTGGTGTATCCACCCACGTGAGAGAAAGCACTAGAATGTCAAGGGTCCTAGTCGTTCTCTATACAATATAGGACCCCCCAGGAGATTAGCTGTACAGCATTTAAAAGACAGACTTCAGTCTTTCTCCGTGCACCTCCTCCTTGAGGGTTTTGCTAAAGCTGTCAGCTGGTGTCGTTTTCCTGGGTCATTGATTTTTTTGCCCCGGGGATTCCAGCATCAGACCTCACTCTTAATAAGCCAGAGGTTGCATTGTGGCCTCCTCTGCCCCCTACATGCTCGTGACTTTTGCTAATCACCTCCAAACCTGCTGAGAAACAGGCCTTCCAAATATTCCCTTCACTCTCATCCCTGGAGATGTTGAGATGCTGCCAGGGGCCACTGGGAAGCTATCATCACAGCATTAAAAACGAATCCCAGGGAAGGCAAGAGCAATTCATGCAAAATTAGTGCCTCTGATCCTTAATCCTACACTCAGTGTGTTTGGCTTTCCTCCATGTTTCTCCCTGGAATGAAGTTCTGTTCTGACTATATGCCCAAATTGAGGATTTGGCCTGAGAGGTCCAAATGCATCATTGACTTTTTTTTTTTTAAGAGGAGGACAATGTTCTCCCATCATCCTTTGTTCAGAAAGCAAACAGAATTTGTTCAGAGTTAGAGCCTAGTGGTGAGAAGAAGGGATGTCCTTTGAATTTTTGTCATCAAAAGTGAAAAGAACCCTACAATTTGCTCTACATTTAAGACTGACTCTTCACTGTGTCTCTAAGACTTAGTTTTTGATGGTTCTTAAGTGTTTTATTTTGTTCTGTTCTTCTGAGAGCAAATGGGTCTTTTCATTCCTTCCTCTCTCTACTGTTCCCAGTTTTTCTTTTTCAAAGAAATTAAAAATACTTGATAGGATAATAGGTGGGCCTCGAGGAGGGGATGTCCATCCCGGGCCCACTTGAATTCCTAGAACACTCCTGATTTCTGACACAGTAATAATTGTTGTTTTTGCAACTTGACGTGCAGGCAGTTCTGACTCATAGCAACTCTGTCTCCTGCAGAATGAAGTGCTGTCCAGTTCTGCACCATCCTAGCAACTATTGCCATCTTTGAACCTATTCGTGCAGCTTGTGTGAATCCATCCTGTCAAGGGTTTTCTTCTTGTGTGATGTGATTTTACACAGCATTATCCTTCTTCAAGGATTGATCCTTCTGATAATCACACGTCCCAAACACCTGAGATGAAGCCTCACCAGCTTTACTTTTCAGGAACGTTCTGATTGCAATTCTTCCCATATAGATTTGTCCATTCTCTGGAAGTCCATTGAATATTCAGTATTCAAGTTGGAACCAACCAATAGCTGACTCTCCTGTGGGTTTTCAGAGACAGTTAATCACACAGAAAAAGATTGTCCATCCTTCTCCCTTGGAGTAGCTGGTGGATCTGAACCACATATCTTTTGGATTGCAGCGCAGCTTGTTACCACTAGGTCACCAGAGCTCATCAACACCATAATTCAAATGAATCCCCTATTGGTCTGTCTTCTTAATTCATTGCTCAGCTTTCACATGCACAGGAGGTGATTGAGGTCAAGCATTCCTCGGTCCTCAAAGTGACATCCTTCTCTTTAGTGTTTTAAAGAGATATGTTACTTGATTTCTTGATTGCTGCCTCATGCACATTGGTTGTAGATCTGTGTGAAATAAAATATTTTACAAGTTCAATCTTTTCTCAGTTTATTACGATGTTGATTATTGGTCAAATTGTGAGGATTTATGCTTGCTTTTATGCTGAGGTGCAATCCATATTGTAATGAATAGTCTTTGATCTTAGTCAGTGATTCAAGTCTTCTTTGCTTTCATTAAGCAAGGTTTTGTCATCAGCATAGCACAGGTTGCTACTAAGCCTTCTTCTAACTCCGATGCTGCATGTTTCTTCCAGCAACGTGGATTATTGTCTCTCCAAAACACACATTTAGGATGTGAAAGCTATATAATGATCCTCAATGGTCCGATAAATGTAATAGTTGTAATAGTTGCTTTTTTCTCTTTTCTTTTATTATTGAGATTTTAATCAAAGTTTATACAGAACTTGGATTTCCGTTCATTCATTGTTGCACATTTTTCTCCGTCTCCCCCCCCCAGTTAGCTTTTCTCTTTGAAAAAAATTCTTTCATTGTTCAACCCTCCACCAACTCCCAGTCCACTTTACTATGCAGCTCTTATCCTGGACTGTTGTCATGCAAATAATATCTAATCATATATTACTTTTAAGCAGTTCCATTCCTCATCTGTTTC